GCCGCGCCTCGGCCAATGGCCCCCGCGGCGAACATGGAGCTGGGCAGCGCTGCGAGGAGAGCGGGAGCTGCCCCCGCGCCCCTGGGCGCCTGGAGACCTTTCCCCTCCTCTTGCTGCTGCTGCTTCTCCTCGCTGCTGGATCTGAACAGCTGGCTGCTCTTCTACGGCTTCTTGTACCTGGCTCTCTATGCCCAGGTGTCCCAGTCCAAGTCCTGCGACAAAATCTCCTGCTTTTCGGGGCATTGTGTCAACTCCACCTGTGTCTGCGACCAGGGCTGGGTGGGAGACCAGTGCCAACACTGCCAGGGCAGGTTCAAGTAAGTCTCTGCTTATTATGATTCCCTTTTTTCCTCCCTACACCTTTTTACTGTTATTTTCACTTGCCTGTTGCCCAGGTGTCCCAGTCCAAGTCCTGCGACAAAATCTCCTGCTTTTCGGGTCATTGTGTCAACTCCACCTGTGTCTGCGACCAGGGCTGGGTGGGAGACCAGTGCCAACACTGCCAGGGCAGGTTCAAGTAAGTCTCTGCTTATTATGATTCCCTTTTTTCCTCCCTACACCTTTTTACTGTTATTTTCACTTGCCTGTGTTAGGGTTTTTTTCTGCATGTCTGCTATAAATTTGTTTCATGTGTGGTTTGGAAGTATGTGACAGAAGTTAAGGATGACATAGGCTCCTCCACCACACGGTCCCTCCCTCTAAGAACACAGGACGCAGTCCTCCGATGGAAAATTGCACCTGCTGGCTTATGAAAATAGGCTGCTCCACTTGGTGGGAACTGAGAGGCAAGGAGAAATTGGCCTGAAGCTGTGTCGCTGCTGTCCCTTCTGGAAGTGTCATGGTAATAACATGTCCACTTCATGGGGCTGCCCAGGGAGAAAGAATTCCTAATGGATCTGAGCGACTTTTTCCTTCTGGAGAGTTAGTGTTTTGCTCGTTTCAGTCTTCCTCTCTTTCTTTCAAGTGTTTTAGCTAAGTGGGTGTTCGTCAGGCACCTTCAGGATAACATCAGTGGAACTTAGTGAAATATACATCGTTCATGGCAAGGTTTGTGGGAGAGGAGAGAGTGGTACATGTAACAGTAACATATATTTTGGAAAGGAGTGACCGATAAGCTAGAACTGCCTTATTTGTCTTAAAAGTGAATGTGATATGGAGTTGTTGATTAGTGAGAAGGAAGCGCATCCTGACACTTGCTTTTCTATATGTAGTGGAAAAGAAGACTTAACTTACAGGGCTGTCACTTTGCGTGTTCGCTCCCCCCAGCCCCGTGGCAGTATAAAGACTGGCTGTGAAGTGTTTGCTGTTACTTCACTATCTAACCTTGGACAGGACATCTCATGTCATTCCCTTGTAAAACACCCCTTAAAATGTGGAACTCTATTAAGTATACTGACATATACAGCTGGAAAGTGTCCTTATATCTAGCTAATAAAATGTGTTGATGAGGCTGTGTCTTACAGAATTCAAATTCTATCTTTGGAAACCACTTTAATAGGTAAAAGTATCAATAAATGTCTATTTTAAATTGTCTCAATTTCAGTTTTTTCTTTGGAGTACTGAAATGAAACTATTTAACTTACATCTCTTTTAAACAGACCCCTAAATAAACAGAAAGTGAATCCAGTAAGTTGTTAGCTTGGGAAGTTGAGTAGCTGGGAGTCAGACATGTTGGCTGAAGTAATGTGCATGCTGCAAAGAAAGAAACAGGTCCCTGGGAACATCTGGTGGATTATTCCATCAGAGAGATAATAACTGAGTTATAAAGGTAATATAGGGCAAATTTAATACATCTTGTATGCATATGAACTTGGTAATAAGAATTTAAAGTTGGTTATTTGTTGTCTGTGTGTTGAGGATTTGGGGTTTGTCCTGCTCTCAGCTGTGGACCAGTTGGTTAATTGGGCAGGGATTGAGAGTGAGGAGGGGAGACCCAGGTGAATCTTCTTTGTGTGTGATGATCTGCAGGACACAGGCTTGCAGAGCTATTATTTCCTTGCTTTAAAGAGATTACTTGGATCCTTTGTCTTGATGCCATGCACAACAGACCCTAATAGCGCAAGGGCTGAAGCAAATTTTCATTTCTTAGATTTCAAAGCTTGTTGTGAATTCGTATATTCTCTGCATGGTTACTGCAGCCTTTATCCAGTCCTTACAGGTATTTTCTTGATTATCTGTTAGACCATTTGTTTCTTTACATTGGTTGTGTTAGTCGGGGGAGGAGGCACAGTGGTTACATTTTCACTTCTGGTAGAAAGTTGATAATCCATCCCCACCTAGAGGAAGTTCTGACAATGTTGAAAGGGCACTTCTCAGCTAAGCTAACGCAGAGCTTAATTATGTGCTGTTCAGAGTTTTGGTGAAATCAAAATAGATTTCTCATTACCTTCTCTATATTCTTTCACGTTTAGCTTTAGAAATGACATCGATGCTTGCATTATGGTTTTTATCACAGAAATAAGCTGTTTCTGTTATTTTGGAGACCTCTTTAATTTTTTTGCTGAGGACACTTTCATAGTGGTATCTTTAATAGCTTATTTTTAATCTTTATTTTTAGAAGCAAAATATACTGCAAAGAATGCCAGCATTCTAAGATTTAAAGCTTTTCAAGTCTTGTGAGTTGAGGATGGTATGAAATATGTTGAAGTGAGTTACAATGCAAGCAGCAATGTGGAGTGGTTGTATTTTGAGCTCTGAAAATTCAGGTGGGTGTTGAATGGCTGATGAGTGAAGTCTGTATTTCCAGCTGAAGAACTGGTAAACAAATGTTAGTCTGCCTTATGGCTGGGTGGTTGAAGACCCTTCTGACTTCTGTGGCAATTGATCCTTTCACTTACTATCATGAAACATTTGCATGTTGCTTCCATTTCTGTGAAGCATGAATATCTGCTTTATGCACAAGTAGCCACAGCTGGACTTCTGCAGCAGGGATACTTTAATTTTACTTGTTATGTTGGATATATGTCACTTCTGCAGCAGTTGCTTCTGTCAGTAGGGATTATTAAAAATGTTTCAGAATGACTTAATGATAGAAAAAGTCTGTTTGGCTATTATAACTGCATGAACAATTCATTCGTGGGTTGTAGATACGATCTATACAAATGTTAATAGAACCTTGTGTGTTATTCAAAACGTTTGCATTCTTTCGAAGTTTCAGCAGTTTCAAGTGCCTGGGTGCGTCTCTATTATGCAAGATTAAGACTGAACTTTTAATGACCTAAATTGGGCACGTGTAAAACCTGGTTTCTGTCACTAGATTATAAGAGGAAAACAGATTTTTAAAGGTAGGCTTAAAACATTTGAGAATAAAAGGATCTGTCTTTTTCCACATAGAAGTGAAGTATGTTTATTTTTGCTCGTCTGGGAATGAGTGATTTGCATTAGCAAGCATCAGAAACATTATTGTAAGAGAAATAATCTACTTAAGGGTAACTTGGGACCATTAATTCTTTGGCGAGAGTTGTGTGGTATTTTTGGCTTACTTTCTTTTCTGGACTGAGAAATAACAACATAGCAGAGACACATCAAAAATAATCTATCAGTCTTAGTAAGCAAGTGTCGATTGACAATACTATGGTAACCTTGCCTTTTCCCTGCAGGAGAACTGCTGAGTAAGTTGACTACTCTCTTGCTCTGGACTGGATGAAAGAAGGATGGGGGGGCAAAAAATGAGCAAAAAGATTCTCTAGCACCATTTTATTATTCTTATTTATCAAATTTTGTATTTAACTCCTTGTATTTTGAAGCACATAGTAACTAGTTATATAAATGAAAGTTGTGTTGTTACTGCATTGCATTCATGTCCGTGTCAGTCACTTTTCAGAATAATCTAGGCCTCGTCTCAGCCTGGCAGTATGTTTAGTTACTCCCTGTTTGGGATGGGTCTCTGAATGCAATACTGACTTCTCTCAAATATTTTTTTTTCTTTCCACCTTTGCTCTGCTCTGACAATGCAAAAACTCTTTTTTTTTTTTTTTTGTACCAAAATAAAGGAGGGAAATTTAATTAAAAAAAAGAGAGGGGGAAAGGAATTCTGCCTGCCTGCCTATGGGAGACAGGTGAAAGATAAGAAAGCCAAAGGGTGAGCAGGTTGTGTTTTTATAGTAGGGAGCTTTTAAACAGCACAGTTCCCAAGATAAGAGCATATAAGCACAGTGCCCAGTTTTATTCTGATAGATTGATTTATTAAGGAAATGAAGCTTTTAATGCTACATCTGCCATTCTGTCTTCCGCTATCCTATACCTTTGAATTTGTTGGTCAGTTCCAGCTTTCGTGATGATATGAGTTTGGACAGAAGGGAGAGGGAAAGGCAGCCCAAATCACTTGTGTTATGGGACTCCAGGGAATTCAGGCAGACAAACATTATGAATGGCTCAACTGCAGGAAAAGCTGCAGTCACAGCTTCTACGTATTTAGATGTCAAAGTCAATCAATCTTGAGATGCAGCACTAAAGGAAAACAGGTTTCATTAGTTTTGCTACTTGCAGAATGACTTCTATGAAGAAAAAAAGGTTTTCTTGAGGTTGGAGCAAAAAGCCGCCCTTTCCTCTAGCTGTGGTTTGTACACTGGTGTGCGGAAGAGCATCAGAGAAATAAAATTGTGCATTAAACTGCTTTTCCTCTTAATATTTTTGAGTACCTGAATGACTGAAAATATTCTAAAATGCTGTTTTTAAAAAAAGTAGATTGTGTTTTCAGATGGTTGTAATTGTTTATCTGATAACTTGAGTCCCAATTGGCATACATAACAAAGCAGAGTGTACAGGATAGGTGAGCACCTTTGCAGACCTATGCTGCAGTTAATCTGCTTTGCCTAGCCCTAGATACCTGGTTGTTACTGAGTAAGAGAAATTGATCCGTTTGACTGCTAAATCTTGTTTCCAGATGTTCTCGTTGCACTGCTAAATTACCTCCTGCGTGTTCTCCTTAATTTCTAGAGCTCCTATAAAAGATTCTGCTTGCTTCAAGGACAAAACAATTTTTAAGTGCAAGAACATTCACAACTGAAATGTTAAGAGTATCAAACTTTATTATTCTAGGCAAAGTCCCTATTTCTGTCTAAAACCCTGAATTCTGTTGTCTGCAGAATAACTCATGTAAGGAAAGCATCTTTAAATTGGTGGTAAGCAAACATTAATGTTGTATAAGAAATAATCTTTAGAAAAAAGTTAGTTTTAGCTGCAGCCAGTTGAAGTTCTTGCTGCTGTGAAAAGGGGTGTATCTGATTCAGGATATGTGCATAATTATCTGTATAGACATCAGTGTGAGATTTTACACCTGCAAATTGCCTTTTTATATGTCAAAACTTGAATGTTG